AAAAAAAAAAAATTAAAAAAAAAAAAAAAAAAACAAAAAAAAAAAGTGGGCAGTAATATTATCTTCTGTGTGCTCTGTCATATCCCTAGCACCTGGGAAATATCTGCCATATAGGTGGTGCTCAATAAAAGATGTTTTCTGGATGAATACAATGCTGTCTGATAATATATTTTCTGGTCATTTCAAAAAGCTGTAGTGTTCCTTAGCTTTATAATGGTCTCGATATTCTCTATTATATAGACTAGAATATGAGAGCTTTGGAACTATTTTCAAAGGTTGGGCTTTGTTTTCTGAGTGCAAGAATTATACAGCAATTACTCCCTCACTTGTGCTCTCAAAGCCTTTCCTACATACAATTATAATAATCATATTATATTATATTACATCGTTTCATGCCATATATTATATCATAATTACTTTTATACATACTTGCCTCTAACCTTAGGTTACAAGCAACTTAAGGGTGGGTTCCCCCCCTAGGTTTTGTACCCCTAGAACACAAGACTTCTGTATGGTAGTGACTGCTCATTAACTGTTGAGAGTATGAATGAGAATCTGAATTCAGTGTTAGTCTTTTTCATTCACACTTTTCTTTAAAAAATTAACTCATTCCATGAAAATTATGTTAACATTTGAGAAAGTATAAACTTATTAAACCCATTCACCTGTTAAATTAATGTAACTTAATATTAGAACAAATAGATACATTTTAAAATTTAATTCAACATATTCTGTAAAGATTAGTATACAGAATGCTCCTTGACTTACTAAGGGTTTACATTCCAATAAACCCGTCATAAGTCAAAAATGCATTTAAACCCATTAAGTCTAAAAACCATAAGTCAAAAATATTGTAAGTTGAAAATGCATTTATTACCCAAAAAATCGGTCATAGATTCAAAAAATTGTAAGTCGAACCATCATAAGTTGGGGACTGTCTGTATTAACTTTGTGTATATTACAGAGATCTTTAAAGAGAAGAGTAACTTTAGAAATACTTTCCTTTTATTTAAGTAGCATAAATTCCTTAAGAGATACAACCACATCATCTCTCTCAACCCTAGAAACGAGAAGGAGCAGGCCATACCACCTCAGAATCCAAAATGATATGTATGGGTTTGTTATACATGCTCATGAATGTTGCTGGGTCCAGGAATTCTTCAGATTTGCACAAGTACTTTACAATTTGTTCTGGGAGAAGCAGGTCAGGTGCAAGTTGGTGCAAGTTATCACCTGGTCCTTTAGTGCCCACTTTAACAGTCTTAAAAAGGTGGAGTGCCAGTTTATGAGTTTGGGTGAGAAATTCTGTGATGACCTCTTCTAGGGACTCTGATTGTGTCACATCATCAAGATACATAACCGGCCCTTTTATTACAGAAACATGCCATTGCATGAAGAGCCTCGTTGGGATGTTATGGGATATGACTATAATTTTCATTTCTTGGATGAAAAAGTCTGTTTCATCCTCTTCATGGCCAAGATAATCTGAAAGAATTTGATAAAGAGTACCATTGGAAGACTCAAGGATATGCAGAATGGAAGTGGGATATATGAGCAATAGTCCTGTCACTGCTTCTCCTAGGTGATGTTTCAAAATCGACTGGAACATTTGTTCATAGTAATCGGTGATTTCTTTTTTTTCCATGTTTGCTTGTATCTTGGCCACTAGAAACATCCTATGGAGGAGGAATTTCTTTAGCTGTAGTCTTAGTTTCTCTTCCTGATAATGCAAGTAATTGCCACGTGGAACTTGTGGCATTAGAAAAGGTTCCATTGGAAAAGGCCTTTTGCTGGACCTCTGGGTATGGCCTATGAGGGACATGATGAGTCTTTATTCATCTAGATGTCTCCAGTTTTTAGGTTATCACAATATTTACCTTATCAAGATACCTCTTTAGTGATAAACTCTTATTTGTCTTTCTTCTGAAAAAAAAAAAAAGAGTAAATTGCAGTTTATCAAATGCTACTGAATAGCAAAATCCCTTCCCAATGTTATCAATAAAGAATAGCTTTGAAATAAAAGAGAACATTAGAACAAGACTCAAATTATGGAGATTTTTTTTTTAAAGTTCACAGTGAAATAACTAACAATCATATCCTAGGAAAAAGCTCTCCAAGGGTAATGTGATGATGATTAGAGATTGTCTTTTATTTGTCAAAAATTTCTTAAATGGTATTTTTATGGCAACTTTTTCATAAATTTAACATGTCTATAATTTTTTAAAAAAATCCGGGGCTCTGTAAGTCCTGATTATTTTTGTTTAACCTTTACTCAGGACACTAAAAGTTAATAGTGTTGCTTAGATAATAACAGTACATTTTTCAAGCAACAAGTTTGAATTCTCTGTTTTTTTCTCCAATCAACAACTCTCAGAAATAGCTCTTTTACTTTTTTTTAATTGCAAAGTTTAAATAAAAATATTCTGCTACTTTTAACTTACAATTCTTACAGATTTTTTTTTCCACATCAGTTTAACATTTCTTCTTTCTTCAAGTGCTTCTTTCATTTACATGTCCTTGAGGTCCGGCTTGTCCTCCATCGTGCTTCCAACTGCCATCCTCTGGTACTCTCAGCTGTCCTGTGTCCTGACTTCCACAGGGCCGTTGGTGAGTCAGAATGTCAGTGGCAGTTAAAGGGCCAGTGCACACTTGCAACTCCCATTTCTTAATTTAATGAGGGTATCCCAACAAACACCTCACCATCACTGCAGAGGAAGTGAAAGCTGCTTTTTCTGAATGGATTATTTTTAGCCAAGTACATTTTTCAGTCATAAAGATGGTAGGCCTGGACATCTTTTACTTTTTTTTTTTTTTGATAAATAAAAAGTATTGTTGTAGAGCTCTTCTTCTATACTTACACACTAATTAAAGACTACGAATGCACATATCTGAATCTGTGTAATGGCAAATCTGTCATAAGAAAATTCTGTGACAGGATTTGGTTTACTTAATTTAATGTAAATTTAAGTTAACTTTTAGAATAAAGCAATTAATATCATCTCTTAAAATTTCATTCATGTGAGTGTTAAAAAATAATTTTAAAGCAAAAAGTTTAGAAAAAATTCTTAATCAATTAAAAAAAATTTTTTTTTTACTTTTTTTTTTTTTTTTTTTTTGGCAGCTAGCTGATATGGCCATCTGAATCCTTGACCTTGGTGTTACAAGGGTGCTGTGCTCGAACCAACTGAGCTAACCAGTCAACCCTTAATCAACTTTTAAAAATTCAACTTTAGCGTACTTTTCTGCTTTCCTAAGGACTGTGTTATCCAAACTAATGATCTGGTTCTAATAATACACAGTGATAAAGCGGAGGGTGAGAGGTGATTTAATAATTCTTTAATTATATGATAAATAAAAATTGACTGTAATTCCTCACCATGATTCACATCATCATTCCCTGAAACAATCTTTTCCAAAGTATTAACCTAAGTGCCAAACCTTGTCCAGTTAGCTCAGCACCATCTAAGTTTTTCTTTTGTAAGGGCAGGTGGGTGGTCCTTGGTGCTGCTCTTGCCCCTAGGTTGCATGATGATGTTGTTGATTGGTCATGGAGCTTTCCTCCTGAGCTCAGACAGGTACCAGGTACACTTGTCAATCTAAGGCTCAGGGCAGACACAACTTGTTGATTGGGGATGACAAAGAAGAAAAACTGAGTTCTCATTTCAGAATTTTCTTTGCACGCCAAAATCATCTTCAGTCATTATTTATAACTCTTCTCTCCTTGGGATGTAACTCAAATTTAAAATGCCAGTATTTTAACTATTATTTTCCTTATTAAGCACATTTCCCTTTATGAATACCCTACTTGTATCTGGATTAATATTTTTTTCTCTCGGCTCCTAGGCCCAAATCTTGAACTTATCTTTTCATGTTCCCTAAAAGTTACCCCCAACTCCATCCTGTTACTAAGTCTTTTCATTCACTTTGAAATGCATTACGGGTTCTTGATTTCCACTACCTCCTTCATAGTCCTTGATCTTTATTTGGATTATAATAAAAGCCTTCTAGCTGAGTAGTATTCCATTGTGTAGATGTACCACATTTTCCGTATCCACTCATCCGATGATGGACATTTGGGCTGGTTCCAACTCTTGGCTATTGTGGAATGGAAATCATCAAGTCGAAGGTATACCTGTTCCCCAATGTTCATTGCAGCACTCTTCACAATAGCCAAGAGCTGGAATCAGCCCAAATGTCCATCATCGGATGAGTGGATACAGAAAATGTGGTACATCTACACAATGGAATACTACTCAGCTATAAAAACGAATGAAATACTGCCATTTGCAACAACATGGATGGCCCTTGAAAGAATTATATTAAGTGAAACGAGTCAGGCACAGAAAGAGAAATACCACATGTTCTCACTTATTGGTGGGAGCTAAAAATTAATAAATAAATTCACACACACACACACACACACACAAAAAACTGGGGGGGGGGAAGAAGATATAACAACTGCAATTACTTGAAGGTGATACGACAAGCAAACAGAAAGGACATTGTTGGGTGGGAGGGAGGAAAGGGAGGAGGGAGGGAGGTTTTGGTAATGGGCAACAATAATCAACCACAATGTATATCGACAAAATAAAATTTAAAAAAAAAAAGCCTTCTACCCTCAGTATTTCTCTAGATTTCCCCTCCTCACAAATTCACCTAAGAGTATGAAACTTTAAACCCTTCTGATATATCTACTTCATAAGGTTAAAAATATATTGATTTTACAAAGTTCTTCCTGCTTACTTCCCCTCCATAGAATACCAGGAGAGGGAGTTTCTGCCTTCCCTAGGTCCAGAGTGATTTCTGGCATTTATTTCCTATCCTAATGATGGTTTAGAACAGATAGAATATGTTTCATGCAACGGCATGGTTTGTTACCTAACACTGTTACTGATCAAAGTCAGTAGGAAATTTTACAGGGCATGCTACCAAGGGGTCCCTTTTGAGAGTGGAAACTCAAATTGAACTGTTATACGTAGGTACAATTCTTCCCCTTCATGAGACTATTTTACCTACAGTACAATATCGTCCCAAACTCAGCCAATGAATATCCCTCAAAATAAGGCTAACAACAGTCTGTTCTGCCTTAAATTTCTGATGACTACATTTATGTATTTTTTTTTCTGATTATAATAATATTTCCCAAAAGAAGGGATCAATTGCCAGAGCAAATGAGAGAGGATGATGTGCAGGAGAGTTTTGAACAAGATTTTCAACTCACCTCATCACATTCCCACTATCTTCTTGGGTTCCTTAACTCTCGGGATAAATAATAAAAACTATTTCATAGTTCTGCTCTTTTCTCTCCTGGCTTTGCTCTCTCTTCTCAAGATCTAGCTAACCTAGGATGCTTTTTCCAAATTACTTTTTTAAGATTTCTATTTCCACTGGCATTACAGTCTTGCCAACTTCCCCGTTCTCCTAAATTATAGCTTCCCCTCTGATCAGTATTTCCTATGCAACATCTCCTTGGTGATTAAATGTGTCTTCCTAATTTTGTGCTCCTGTAAAAAAGGATCAATGATGATCTTTTCCCCTATGTATGCTTTTTGTTTCCCTTTTCTTTCATGGATCTTGGTTCCTCCAATATAAACCTAATAGGAGAATGACGATATTTCATTATTGTAAGTATATAAATTATACAAACTATCAACTAAGCCATTCTTTTGTCAAAAGAGTGATAATGTCTTTACAAAGCCTAATTAATGTTGGCTTGAAAAACCCATGAATTATCATTTCTATAAGTTAAAAATGGTCTGATAGTAACAATTTTGTGTTCAAATTAATACATTTAGAAACGGTAGTTTTTATTACCACAAATAGTTTGACCTACAACTTTATTCCATTTTCCAATCTATTTTTCCATTTCTCAATGAGTTTTTTTTGTTGTTGTTGCGTTGCTTCCCTAAATTTTAGTGTCACTGTCTCATGGCTATTGGAAAGGTTTAAAGGCAACTTATCTTTTCTTGCCTTTCACCAATCACACTTTGAATTGTCAAAAATAAAGTTCAGACCAGATAGGAATAGAAAAAATGTGCAGTTTGCACAGTTTTCAGTTGACTGGCATATGTAAGTACAATTGTACACTCTCCTTCCAGTGGACAGTCAGCATGTGAATTCCCAGTTGCCAAAACCCTTGTGTTCTATCTATTAAGAATCAGGTATTATTTACCCTCAGTTGGTGACGCAAGCAGGAGAATTCTTCTATCTGTTTATCCAGGTAAAGAGGTACGTGTGTTACTTTCACCTAGAGTGATCTGTTTAGAGTAGCTATCCAAATTCAAGTTCAAACAACTGATAAGTCTCAGAACATGAATACAAACTTATGATGCCTAGTCCTTTTCCAATTATTCCACCTATCCATCCTTTTTATCTAACTTATCTCACTTCAATACATAGCATATATTTGTAACTCATGTTAAATAGTGCACCTTACTATTTATGCTCTTAATTTATTCTCCAGAATAAAATGTTTCTGAATAAACACAAACCCAGTGTTCTTTCATATTTGTAAGACATAAAGGATTTGTAATTCATAAAGGATTAAATGATTAAATACCATTTACTGAGTATTTACCATACATTAAATACTTTTATGTGCATTAATTAATTTAATCTTTACAACAATCTGACAAGGTAGATAGAGATTTATTCATGATTTATAGAGGAAGAAACTAAAATATGGAGTACTTTAAGCATTTTGCACACAATTAAAATCTCCTCGCAACAGCCTTCCTATATTCTGTCTACCTAAAGAAGAGGTAAATTATACTCTCTCCTTATCCATGACCACAGAGTCATTCTTCACTGATCTATGACATA